ACGTGTTATGGACAACATCTTGATGGGTATACAAAACGAAAGATGTCTTGTATACATGGACGATATCATTGTCTATTCCCCTTCTATCCAAGAACATATCACCAGACTTTCCGAAATTTTTAAACGTCTCCGAAACTCGAATTTTAAGATTCAGCCAGATAAGTGTGAATTCCTCAGAAAGGAAGTAGCCTATCTTGGTCATGTAATAACCCCTGATGGCGTTAAGCCCAATCCAGATAAAGCGGATTGTATAAAAAATTTCCCACAACCCAAAAGCCCTAAAGAAATAAAATCATTCTTAGGTCTTGCCGGTTACTACCGACGCTTTATCCCAAACTTTGCTAAAGTTGCGAAACCCTTGACTAGACTATTGCAAAAAGGTCTTCGATTTCGACAGCGAGTGTGTTCTCCTGTACTGATCTACCCCAACTTCGAAGAACCGTTTGTGCTTACTACGGATGCAAGTGCTTTTGCAATATCCGGCGTACTTTCCCAAGGACCTATTGGTAAAGATCTTCCGATAGCCTATGCATCTCGTACACTGTGCAAAGCAGAGACGAGGTACTCTACGATTGAAAGATAACTTGTTTGGAATGTAAAACATTTCAGACCCTATTTGTACGGTCGAAAATTTAAATTGGTCACAGATCACCGACCATTAACTTGGCTTTTTTCTTGCCGTGATACCGGTAGTAGGTTAGCAAGATGGCGCCTCAAGTTAGAGGAATACGACTATGAAATAGTCTACAAGCCAGGCAAAGCCAACAAAAACGCCGATGCCCTATCCCGCATTAAACTACCTACGAATGTTAACGCCCTTAACCCTAGTGATGAAGAAGGTTCCCCTTCTACTCAATTTCTCGAAAATGAATTTGATGTATTTGCCCGCCTTTATAAAACCACCTCTTTAATAGACTATTCCAAAATTCAATTTTCTAACTCCCAACTTCTAGACAAAAACCACAAACACATAGTCACATTTTTCAGACAAAACACCCTTTCTGATCTTCATGAAAAAATCATCGAAGACATGTTCGAAACCAATCTCGAATTTTCTGCAGACAAAATTAACATCGCTTCTAGTCAGACTGTCAAAGATACGAAATATTATATAATTCCCGTGCCGTACGATCCTGCGACTTGCGTACAATATCTCTTCACCCTTATTTTAAATAACAAAGGTATATTCGATTTGTCCCAACAAATCTACGTCGAAAATAACCTAGATCTGCCCATCCAAGAAATATTTTCTTTCATATTTTCCGATGAAAGTATCAAAATTGTCATTTGTCAGAATGTAACTAAAACTCCAAGCTCTGATGAAATTCCAATCATTTTAGACCAATACCATTGTGGTAAGAAAAATATCCACAGAGGTATTAACGAACCTATCAGACGTATCCGTGAACGATACAATTGGCCCGGTTTGACTAAAGATGTCGAACGTTTCATCAAGAAATGGTAAATTTGTCAGAAAACTAAAATCTGCCGAAAAAACCTCAGTACCCCTTTAGTTGTTACATAAACTCCAAAAGCTCCATTTGAACGCATCAATATTGACATTCTAGAAGTCCCGCCTCAGTGCTATGCTCTTACAATCCGAGATGAACTTACAAAATTTTCCCAGGCCTATCCTATTAACGACAAATCTGCTAAATCTGTCATGAATACACTTCTTTTTTATTTCCAACATTACGGTACACCCCTTCGAATACATTGCGACTATGGCCAAGAATTTGACAACGCTCTTATGAAAGATCTCTGTAGTCTTTATGATATCAAAATGACATTCTCTAGCGTTACTCACCCCCAGTCCAATGGATCGATCGAACGATTCCATGCCACTTTATTGGAAGTGATTAGAACGCATGTATCTGAAAATCCGAACGAACACCCCTTTAATACCCTACCCTATGCTGTTCAGTGCTACAATAGCACAAGAAACAAAACCACAGGATTTACTCCCTACGAACTTGTCTTCGGACATACATCTGGTCGTCCCCCAGAACACGTCTACCTTGAAAAGGAATTGATGTCTAAATACTTTCGAGAAATTCGGAATAAGCTCGAATATTATAAAATAGCCCGTGCCAGAACGGACGAACAAAAGCAAAAGGCTAAGGTTCGTTTCGATAACAAAGTATCACCGAACCTCCAAACGTACAAAATTGGTGACAAATTCTTTTTAAACAGTCCCAAATTTCCAATAAGCTTCAATAGTAGAGCTAAGGGCATTCCAGACCGGAAGTGAGATAAAACAGCCGATGGACGGTTGCAGGTTCGCGTAATCGGCGCGACGGCGTTCGCATGCGGATGTGTGGCCGATAAGGTGAGATGTAGTGTATACAGGGGGAGTCAAGAAGGTTGTATACAGGGTGAGTCAAAAGGTTGGGAGCGTTAAAAAAGATGGCGGTGTGTGTGTGTGTGTGTGTGTGTGGGTGCGTGCGTGCGTGCGTCTGTGCGTGCGTGCGTGTGTGTGTGCGTGGGTGTGGGTGCGTGCGGGCGTGGGTGAGTGAGTGCGTGCGTGGGTGAGTGGGTGCGTGCGTGCGTGCGCGTGTGCGTGTGCGTGTGCGTGTGTGTGTGTGTGTGTTGCCTGTTCATTAAACTACAAGTAAATGATTGACAAAAATAAAAACGGATTATTTTACATATATTGTTTAATTATTTCGGAGAGGGGATGTAGTTCCATTACAGAATCATGTATGATAATACAGTAAACACGTGTATTGGTGGGGAATCCTTTTGCTGATTCAATGTCTAATTTTACTTCTACGGTTGTCGATTTTATTGATTCACTGCGTTTAGAGCAGCACGATTTTTAAATGATGGATAGTCAAGTAGTGCAGGATTGAATGAGGTATTTTTATAACTCGGATAAAAATCTATATAATTCATGTGAGCGTCCACATAATCGTTTCTATCAAAGTCAAATCTCAAACGCTCATGGGGATAGTACTCCCCATTGATGAGCAGTCGAACGTCTGTTACATCAATATGATCAAATAAAGTTGGATCCTGATTAGCTTTATCAAATTTATGTGTTTGAAAAGCCGCTATTACATATCGTGGACACTCTATAGCAGCACAAGTTCGTGTAAAGACCACTTTCTGTATGGTGCATACACCGGTTTATCGTTTTTAATATATTCTAGTAGATTCACTTTAATCACGTGATTAGAGTAAATATGTTTTACTAGCAGTTTGAGCTCATCAATTTCAAGTTTGGCTTGTGTAGTACCGGCGGCGGCGCCAGCAGCTTCAGTAACAAGCATACAGTTATTATCATTACGTGCTCTCACTAGACGTATAGTATGTTTCCCATATGCAGCAAATTTATAGTCAGTAAAATAATTCAGTAAGTGTTTAAGTGGAACTCTTAGGCTAAAATATCCAGTGGTAGCATCACGAATTGGTACAGAAAGACAGTTCCATCCTATTGCGGTTAAATGTCTTGAATCGTTAATACTGTAACATAAGTATCCTCGAACGGTGCTTACAATACCCGGATTTCGAACTGTGTCCAATATGGAACCATTAAATTCGTATGTACAGGAGTCAAAGAAAAATGCTCCAGCATTGTTCACAAAGGAAACTGTTCCAGCGCCGGCACTTCTTTTCAATTTCCCCTTAATTACAATAGCGGCATCATACATCAAAAGCCATGCATCACTCTGATTAATAGTAATGGTGATTTCATTGTTATTGAGAAAAGACGAAATATATGGTCTATATGTGAACTCTTTAACGCCTTGGATTGTATCATCAAATATCGGTTTTTCGTAAACGTCGAACACATGACTTGACAACACCGTAATTGAGTATATGGTTTATATTTGTGTTTTTTGAGGAGAATCACCAAAACCATTAGAATTTTTTCAACTCCAAACGTATGATTATCTCTTCTCCTCTAAAGTTCACTAATTCAAAATTTTGATCCAGCACTAGCAAAGTAATGTTGTTTATGTCACGTTGATTCACTGGTAGATAAATAAGGTTTTTAGGACTTTCGTTAATTGCACACCCAGCCTCGTCTGTAATAGAGAATTCGTATACGGTATGTGAAGGTCTATCGATGTAGAAAGCTCTAACAGTAATATTGATATCAATATGGATAGTTCTACCTTTAACTATATTAATGGGAAGATCTGATTGGTGATAAATCCTGGTTCGAAGACTATTGATGGAGAATATCCTAAAACGTATGCGATGGAATCCTGTGGCTGAAAGTTAATGCCATGCACTGAACTGTACAGTTCACACTTGAGCGTATTCAGATTAGGTTTCAGCGAAAAAACGTCTTTCACTCGACCCCCCTCACCGTCAACAATGTGCTTCTTAATATAGGATTCAATATCTTCTATTTCATACTCACCCGTAGGAATGATGATATTTTTTTCTGGATTTTTGTTGTTGTTCTCGTAATAATAGAATTTATTGTGGCCCTGGTCAATGTTAGGTACACTATTATAGGAATAAAAAGACAATAAACTCAAACCGTAATCGAACCCATACTCTAACCTAATTGGATTCACAAAATCAATGGACAACGTAGCCGTATGACTCTTCACGGTGAATATCTGCGACATGACTGAGAGAGGCTACGGAAGGTCAGATAGTTTTATAGAGAAATTCCAAACAAAGGTGTCCACAGATGCTTTGATCATAATTTTGATAACAGTCATTGAAGTAAACGATAGCAGTAGCAGCAACAGCATTTAAATATTTAACGAGTTCACGTTGAGGTTTAAGATTTCCGAAACTATCAAAATACTCAGCTACATTACCATTCTTTCTATATGCTACCCAATGCGTTCCTTTGTGTTTTTGTTCATCTAAATTAATTATACCACATTCGGTTCTTCTAGCACCTCCTTTAGGTATAGTATCTCACTGTCATAGTGGGTATGTGCCTCTGGGATGACGTCATGGCGGGATATGCCTTGAGAAGTTGATGAGACATCATACAACTCAGATCTTTCATGCGGCTTTTCAAAATAATGTTACTTAACCAACATTTTCCCTTTTTCCTGTTCTTCATCATCCAATGAGATCTCTCTACGTCTTTTTAACGAAGTTGGAGCGTATTTCATGTGCAAGTTAACTTCCTGGTCATTGTTTTCTGCTACTACATGCTCTACAACTTGATTCGTAACTATAAAGGTCTCTAATGCATTGTCTTCATCCACTGACTCGTCTGTGTAATCCATCGTCACATCACCATTGCTGTCCTCATGGTATATTCTATTTATTTTATAAGCCCAACTCATATCAGGCATGTCTTCCAAGCTTAGTTCATCTTCTTTATATCAACTGCTTTCATCCACATCTAATTCAGGAAGGGCTTTATTTGCTATTTTTCCAACTGGTATGTTAAAAACGTATTCGTCGTCATAGCACTGCTCATCTTCACTATCTTCATTTGATGCTGTTTCATAATCATCTTCTTCTTCTTCTTCAGACGGATCTATATACTTGGAGAATGTCGATATCATGACTCTGAAATGCCGACACAACTTCGGGTGATCCTCGGCTTTCTTCATAATACATACACCAGACCAGCTTGTTTGGTGGATGTTTGACTAGGTTATTTACTACTGTTTTTATAAATTCCGACATGATTGGTTAGTATTAAACTAAGGTATGGATCTATCTAATATACAACTTTCAAAGAAAATTATATACTAAACTGGGCTGAAATCAGTACCCATTAGGAGTGGAAATCCGAACTCCAAAAATCGCGATAGGCAGCAGCAGTGGCCGCAGTAGTAGACTCTTCGGTCTCCTGATCAGCCGCCGTGCGCTGTGCGGGTTCGAGTCCCGTCCTAGGAGGAATTTTTCTCTTGGCTATGGATGTTGTGATTGTCCGTAGGTGGTAGACGGTCTCTGACTGTCGAACACGGAGGTACCACTCGGCGGTAGTGATGTCAATATTGTAACTACCCGGTATTAAATATCCGGTACTCGGCCAAGTAGTCGGTACCTGGGTATTCGGTAAAAAAAGTATCCGTCACTTTTGTACCTATTATGTATTTATTAATTTAGGTTTGCAGTTGCCGTCAATCACATCGGTATTGATATTGGTAAACGATATCGGTACTGGGTATCGATATTTAGTAGTGCTGTAGAATGTGGGAAAGAAATGAGGAATACATCATTGCGTACGCACTACGCATACGCAGATAAGCAGGATCGGGCGGATGGGAGCAGGCGGTGTTGTCGTTTGTCGTGCTGCTACTTAATATGTGCGGAACTCAAAATGTTATTTATGAGAACCTCTATGAAAACAGATAAATAATTAAAATATAGACCATATATATAAGAGAAAAATATATATATATATATATATTTATATTATTATAAAAAACAGAAAAATAAGTTTACAAAATCTAATTGAAAAAGTAAATAATTAGTCTAAACATCTAAACACTTCACTTATTTATTAGTAGTTGATTGTAATTAAGGAACATGAGTTTTTCTACATGTTTCGATTTCAATCGATTACGCCTTTCTGTTATCGACTGACCAGCTTTCGAAAAGACGCGTCCACTGGGAACAGATGTTGCTACCATACTCAAGTATTTTTTTGCCAATGGGACAAGGTTGGGATAGAGTAGTTCCCTGGACTTCCACCACAACAATGGGTTTTCTGTTCTAGGTATATTTGGCTCTTCCAAATACATTCGTATTTCTGCTATTGCAGTAGCCAGTGGACTTGGCTTTTCAAGGGTGGACGTCGATAAATCAAATTCATGCCAAACTAAATTATTTAAGCTTTGATCATCTTCGGAACTTTGTATAATAGTAACATCTAAATCACTATCTATGGCTGCAACACTTTCATTTTTTCTTATAATTGCTACTGTTTCATCCTGTAACTTGTCCTTTGCTTTTTTATATGCTTGCTCAAGTGAAAATGCCTTTATTTTAAATCGCGGGTCTAAAATCGATGGTTTTGCCAAAATACTATTATATTCGCATTTACCAAAACGAGTCAAACACGACGCTAATAAATTCTCAATTAGTCGTTTGGTAATATCGAAACCTTTTTAAAATCGCGATCAAGCCTCGGACAATGATAATAATTTTGGAAACTGTTACGTGTGTTTCTGAGCTCATTTCAGTTGTTATTTGTTCAAATGGTTTTAGCACTTGACAAATTTCTTTTAAAATGCTCCACTCTTCTTCGGACAATAATTGTACGGGATTGTGTAGTAATCCAATGGTTATAGTAAGAGATTTTTCCGCTCAAACATATAATATGAAGAGTTCCACCTAGTGGACACGTCGTTTTTTAATTTTAAAGGAATGCTGTTTGCATCCATCCTAGTTTGTGTTGATAATAATTTTGAATTTGCCTGCGAACTTCTGTGGAAGTATTCTACAACTGCCTTAACTTTATGGCGTATATCTTTAATTTCTTGAAGGCCATTTTGCACTACTAAATTTAATGTATGAGCAAAACAAGGTATATGTGCCCAACTTCCCAATTTTACTGCAGCCACTTGATTAGCAGCGTTATCTGTTACTATAGCAACCACTTTTTCTGATATTCCCCACTCCGTTAAAATGTTCATAAGTTGTTCATAAAGATTTTGAGCTGTATGTCGTTCGGAATAATTGAAACAGCTCAACAAACCCGACACAAATTCCCAGTTTTTTGTTATAAAATGGACCGTTACAGATATATAATTTTCATTTGCTGAAGATGTCCAACCGTCAGTTGTAACAGTAATGAATTCTGCTTGTTCTAAAATAAGCTTCAAAGTTGTTTTTGCACGTGCATATTTGTCTTCTAAGAGTGTTGTTACAAAAGTGTTTCGACTTGGAGGGTTATAACTAGGTTCAAGTCCTTTTAGGAGTTCTAAAAAACCTTTATCCCTAACGATGGAAAATGGCTGCATGTCTTTGACGATCATGATTAAAACAAGCTCATTTATTTCTTTCTGCCTTGACAGACTTAGTGGATGGGCTCTGAACTTTGACAAATTCATTTGTTTTTGCCTTTTAACAGGAACAGGACTTACATCTGATTTTGTTAATATGCTGTCGCTATTATTTGCCTTTGGTTCTGATGACGTGGACGGGGCTGTATCATACGCTAAAAATAAAAAAATGGGTGTTGAGCATATATAGTGGATACCAAACAAAATCCGATGCCCGTCATTAGTGATGCAATTCATAAAAAGCATGGTCCCCAACAATTTACTACATTCAAAGTGAAATTTCTACTTGAATTTTAAATTTCCTGTTCTCGATTCGGTTGGTGCGCCGTTCAGAGAAATGTGAAGTTGCCGTGTCTTATTTTTTGACATCAGTTGTCATTGTCCTTTTGTCGAACTAGTTCTTTATTGTTTATTTGTGAGTTTTGCGCTATTTAAGCTTTGAATCGTTGCCTTGCAACTAAAAATTGTTCTTTTCAGAACAACATTTAGTGTGAAGTAGTGAAAAGTATACAAATGCCAAATTTATTTCATTAAATGATTCATTTGCTTAAAAGAAAATGTGCAAAGTCTGGCAACAATGCACAGCTCAAGACTGATGATGTGCATCGGTTTTTGTTTTGGTGGGGCTACATTAGCGGGCGAAGATTCGTGTCGTGTTGGCGCGAAAAACATCGTGTATCGGGCATACACGATGTTCTTGTCTACATTTAGCGGCGAAGATTCATATAACGGACTGCGACGATTATTCGTTTGTGTGTTGTTTAGCCGTGCGGACGAAAATATGGAGGAAGCAGTAGCGTTGCATTATATGTCAGTAAATTATTATTATTTATTACACTTGTACGGGTATCAGGTACAAAGTAATATGAATAAGAGAAGAAGGAGGAGATGGTAGATGACTACTATTCATAGAAACCGAACGATGTAAGTGTGCAGCACAATTTTTACAACACGTCACGCTAAAATAATACTTGATATAATGTTTCTATTTTGCCTTTTTCTGCATTAGACCTTAAGTGGTGTGAGTATATAATAATAATTTTTACATTTTTTCTTATTTACAGAACAGGAATGGAACGTTTGTTATCTGAGCTAACCGCAGAGTCCGGTATAGAATTCCCTGGATTTTTACGTATGTCGACATCTGACTTTGAAATACTACTACAAAAGCTCGCACCACTAATCACCAAAAAAGATACAAAATTCAGAAAAGCAATTCCTGCAAAAGTGCGATTGGCAATATCAATACGTTATCTGGCGACAGGAGATGATTTTCGAAGCCTTCATTATCTTTTCAAAATATCTCATCAACTCATTTCCAAAATAGTACATGAAGTGTGTGCAAGTATTTTGATCGTTTTGAAAGACAAAGTTATGGTAAGAAAAATACAATATTTTACTCATAGTTCAGTTTATTTCACTAAGTGCCTATAGTCTAAGCAACATGTACCTTTATGGAGTTTTTCTTTTCGATTATTAATAACAAAATAAACATTTTTCTATTCTCATTCCTATTAAAAAAAGGTATACCATCCATAAAAAAACTACAAAACTACTACATTTTCATATGAATACTATATCACCAGTCTCCGATATAACGAATTGTGATGTTTTCTGAGATGGCATGGTTTGGTTCTGCGATGGCGATGGATGGATCGGAGACTGGTACGTTTGGGTCGGTGGTGATGGAGATGGTGATGATTGATTTGAAGAGTGATATGTGTGGTTCTTTGGTAACTGAGATGGTGATGGATGAGTCGGGGACCGGTAGGTTTGATTCTGATGTAACGATGAATGGATTTGGGAGTGATATGGATGAGTTGGGTGAACCCGATCTATCATGCCTGCGTTTATAACCATGCTATGGATATCATTCATAAGAATGTCTCTGGTATTTGAGTTTTTAAGTTTTCTTATTTTAGCAGCAATCAGTTTCCCAAACATTTCATATTCGTCGTTGACACTGCCTTTCACGTGCTCAAATGCCTCTTGCATTTGTCTCTTCGCATGTAATATTTCTGAAGGAAAATCAATTTTCGCTCGCTTATTTGTTATGTTTGAATTAATCGGAGGAGTTGGAGTTGAGTCTTCTTCACTACGACTAACTGTAATCCCTTCATGTTCATCGTCACGTTCTGCATGCTCTTCCCGTACACTTTCATTCTGAAATAATAATAAAATTTGTTTCAGATGCCTTCAAACGAAGAAGAATGGCTACAAAAAGAAACTGAGTTCCATGATATCTTTCCACATTGTATTGGAAGCATTGATGGAAAACACGTGCAAATTTTATCACCCATTCACAGTGGAACTGAATTTTATAATTATAAACATACATTTAGCATTGTCCTCATGGCTTTGGTAGATAAGAAATATCGGTTTCTGTATGCAGATGTTGGTTGCCAAGGGCGAATTAGTGATGGTGGAGTGTTTAGAAATACCGCATTATTCGAAAGATTAGAAAGAAATGCTCTAAAGATACCAGCTCCTTCGGTGCTTCCCGGTACTGATTTCATCATGCCGTTTGTATTTGTAGCGGACAACGCGTTCCCGTTACAAACACACATCATGAAGCCATACCCTGGAGATCATCCGGAAGGCAGTATTAAAAGAAAATTTAACACGCAACTGTCAAAAGCCCGTATAGTTGTAGAAAATGTGTTTGGAATTATGTCTGCGGTATTCCGCGTACTTAGGAAGCCGATTGCACTCCAACCAGATCGCGCCTCTAATGTTGTAATGTCTTGTATATTACTACACAACTTCTTAAGAAACAGTTCATCTTCAAATAATATATATATACCACCAGGTTTTGCGGACACTATTACAAATGGACAAGTAGTTCCAGGTACATGGAGAAATGAGCAACAAGAAGAAACTGCGTTGCGCCCTTTTCCAGCGGTAGCTAGACGGAGCGGTCTTTTATCTACACAGATCAGGGACCAGTTCGCTCAATATTTTTTCAGTCAATAAAAATAGTCTAAGCAACAAAAAAAGCAAAACTCCCATTTTGTTTGTTTTTACATTGTTTATAACTTTTGCACTTTTTATCAGTGCCTTTTCGAATTTTTTCTTAAACTTTCTACATATTTTTCCGAATCAAATGACACCTTCATCGTAATTTTCGGAGACTATACTCAGATTTCACCCAAAAAGCTACATGTTGCTTAGACTAAAAGTATGTTTTTATTTTTGTGAAGTCACACTGTGGAATGTGAATAAATATAAGATATAATAAATAGGCGTGTTTCATTATTTACCTGTGTATCGATAGTCCGGCGACAATCATATATTGGCTGAAGAAAACTGTTCATAGCCGAAAAGGCGAACCAATTTGTTTGATATATGTCGTCGGTGCCAGCGCCTGACCTCATTGATTTCTTTATTTTATTGAGATGAGCTCTGTAGTACGACATCAAAGAATCTTTTTTCCTCTTCATTTCTTCTATTGTGGTAGGCCAACTGAGCCTATTTTGAATTCTCGTCCACGCATCATGTACCAAATGCTTCTTTTTGTGGTCTGGGTTACTAGGATTCCATATAATATTTTCTGTTTCATAAAACTGAATGAACTCCAACACTTTTTCGTTATTCCACTCCATCGTACAGTGTACAAAACACCTAGGCCAAATATATTTTATCTCTGCAAAACACACGCACGTCCGTCTCGCTTCAAAGTCTGGACGACCCTGAAGTAACGCAGGTGTAGCCAGACATGCGAATATTGTCGCGATAAGTCCCTTTGATGCGTGCTAGTTTACCGTCAGCGACCCGATGTTACATCGTCTTCGCCCGAATACACATAGATTTAAAATTCAGCGAATTTTTAATTGCGATGCACGATTCGAGCGATGTCTGCTGTCTCACTGTCTGGGTTCCCCCGGTTATCCGGTACCATTGTTTTTATTTTACCGATACTGGCTTGCAACGTTGCAATGACCTAAATCGAATCTTACCTAGAATACCGGTACCGGGTACAAAGTAATGGGTACTTTTTATAGTATTACTCGGTACCGGTAATACAGAGATGTACCTATATTTGACAACTCTACTCGGCGGATCTCGTAGGCGGAGCCAGAATGTGTGCATGTTGCATGCACACGTGTTCCCTCGCCAGAGTCCGTGTGGCGCCCCCCCCCTTTCCCATGTATCCCCCTAAAGCCCCACGGTACCCAATGGGTGCTTAGGCCTTCGTGGTAGTTGGAGTATAAAAAAAAATCTCACATAAATACACCGCGGAAATGTGCTATTTTAAGCTTTTTGACAAATTTCCGTAAGTCCACATCATACAGGGCTCTATTGGGTAGCTTTATTGGTAGTTTTTTGGATGTTGTTGCTTTTTTAAAAATAAACCGAGACCTCCTCGAGCATTTCTGCGTAAGAACAGACCGGATCCTTGTTTTCCAATTTCTTCCATTGCTTTGTTATGTCGCTGTTCTTCCTCGAGCTTTCGTTTAGCATTTCTAGAGCCGATTACAGTTTTGGCGACTGCACTAGCACCCCCCGCAATACTCCCCAAGGCGCTGAGTCCTGCAAACAACGGCAACAGTGGTAAAAATCTCCCACTTTTTGCTTCAAACGGTATCACTCGGGGAACTCGAATATTCTTCCGTCCACCAGCTTTCTTTATTGCCATCCGTGCGGGTCTCAGTGCTATTGTGGCGACTTGATTAGCTCTTTTTTGTTATTCAAATCCGCTGATCGGTTGTGTTTCTTTAAATGTCTGGAAATTTTTTAACAACATCTCTTCTAAATGAAGCTGCCGGTTTCATACCAATTCCAAGTTTACGTTTCACCTTCATTGCGTTAGTAACAAACCACGAAGCGGCTTTTTCACCAAAATTTGCGACTTTCGACCTCACTCTGTTCCAAGCCTGTGGTTCCAAGATTCCATCAGCCTTATGACGGTCGGCTATAGATGAAGATTTCGAATAAGCTATATCGGGTTGTTTGCAAGCAGCGTCTAAGCTGTTGATTCCAGGTTCACCTCGTCTGAGCCGTTTTTGCAGATGAGTTCCAGGAGCGCAATACTGGAACTGAGGTAGATGAAGCTCGATGGGAAGCCGATCAATTAGCGAGTTCAGAACACCTTCTTCTCTTACTCGTCCTTCTCGCTGGAATGCTAACATAATAATGAGCACACGCACATTTTGTGATTATATTTATAATGATCTGCGTCACCTTTAAGTGTGTCAATTAATAGCGAAATGCGTATTCAGCAACTAGCAACAGCACTACCTATCGAAAATTTGGATTTTGCTGAAGATAACAACCTTCCGAGCAAACATGGAAAATTATTACCGAATTCATTCAGAGTTATATTTTGTAGACCTAGTGGATGTGGCAAAACAAACGCAGCATTGAGCTTGCTGTTCAATCGTAACGGTGCACGTTTTCAAAATGTCTTTGTATACTCTAAAACATTGCTACAGCCCAAATATACTTTACTACAAAACGTTTTAGCGAAGACAAAATGCGTTAAATATTTCCCATATAAAGATAACGAAGAAATTATCGATCGATTAGAAGCACCTAATAACTTTATTTTCGATGATATTGCATGCGAGAAACAGCAAAAATGTAGGGAATATTTTTCAGTGGGTAGACATAAATCCGTGGATGTTATGTACCTATGTCAAACGTATTCTAAAATACCGAAACAGCTTATACGTGATAACTGTAATGTTATAGTTCTTTTCAAACAGAATGACAAGAATTTACGGTATGCATTTGATGAACATGTTTCACCGGATCTTATCTATGAACAATTTAAGGAAATGTGTTCGCGATGCTGGTGTGAAAAATATGGTAATATTACGATAGTTACGGATTTTGAATTGAAACAAGGTCGATATCGTAAGGGTTTTGATAAGTATATATGCATATGATATCAACTCTGAACATCAGTTTTGCATGAGATGAAGATCGCAAAGTACAGTAGTCTGTTGCAGAGAAAAATTCAACAACTGTCTAGAGATGTTAGACGAAAGTATTTAGATTTGAAAATTGGTAAGTCTGACGAGGATGAAAATATTAAGAAGCTCTTTCGACCAATAACCGAACCGCTTCAGAAAATAGCGAAAAAGAAAAAATATAATTTGAGTAAAATTAAAAAGGAAGAAACGAGCGACAAAGAAGAGGAAACTAAGATGGATGTTAATGTCGATGATGATGATGATGATGATGAATATAATGATACGTTTTTCAAGCCTGAAGATACACCCTTTATGTCACAGTATCCAGAAATAGCTCGGGAACCAGTGCAGAAGTTTTGGAGTAAATCTAATACAATTGATCTAGTATATGGACCAACTTATGATTCTGTAGCACCTCAGTGGCGGATTGGAAGTAAACATTAATTTTGATACACATACGGGTGATATAGCTGGCAACCGATTCCGTGGAACAGAAGGACTTTATAGTCCAATTTTCTTCAAAAACCCTAAATATGATCAAAATGATTTATCAGACTACAAAAAGATTTTAAATATATCTAATGTACAGAAAGATAGTCGTCAACGTTTAAAAGGATCTACTATGTCCAAATATATTAATATAATTAAACCATTATTCACAACAATATGGTCTCTAAAAGCTCAGGCGTCGTCGTCGTCACCGCATACTGGACAAGGAATGTATTTGATGTATTTCAATCATAGGTACGATTTTTTTAATTTTTGAGCTTACAAATTGCGCAACACCAGCCATACGATTCGCAAACCAATCCATACAATCTGCACCTCGATAACTCTCGAAGTAAGAAAGACTATCATCATAGTTGCATTTTACATAGAAACCAGCATTTTACGGAACGTGTTTTTGGTATTTTATGGTTTTAGTCAAATTTACGACGCTACTTTCTTTATAATTTTCTAATTGACATTCAAAATCTGCATAAACAACAAAAGGAGTATTTTGTTTGTTTGTAAAGTTTTTAAATTCAACGTAGCTCTCTTTAGGAAGGCTTTTCATGTTCAACTAATTTGTTTTGTTGCTGAACATAGTTCATTCATCTATTGTAAATAAATTTTTTATTGTGATTCTTATTTAATTGACTACTAATAAGACGTAAAAGATGTTTCATCCAACAATAGTGATATTTAATCTCATCGATGGAATCATTATCTTCATCTGCTAGTGGTGGAGCATGATAATCATTTAAACGCGGATAATATTTATTTTGAACTAAAAGTAAATTAACATGCGTGTCCCGTATATTATCCGTCAATCTTGCTGGTACTACTGTGTAAAATGATGTTTTTTCTGTTTCAATTAATTCTAAAGCGTAAACATTGACTGAAATATTATTCAGCTTTTCAAATTTTGAATTTTTTTTAGCGGCAAAGGACTATCTAAATTTTCTGTTTGTAAAACGTCAGTAAAGTATGGATATGAGGAGGTTAGTTCTGCATGTCCTTTATTGCTAGGAGCCTGAGGAGCGTTACAATGGTCCAGTAAAAGCAATTTTCATATGTATTTTTAATGTTTATACAAGTTTTTTTTGTAATCGGTTCTGGTAGTCAAATATAAGATGAAGCGTGTTCAAATTGATATTTATTGATATTAACAGCCAAAGAAATAATTTTATTTAACGCAAATCCCGAATCTTTTTCGGCAACTTCCGATAATTCGTTTAAAAGGTTCTCTTTTACATATATTTTAAAACACTCGTCTATTTGAGTTGACGCATCAATAACATGATTTTTAGTATTGATATATTCAATTCCCAAAATTTCATTATCTTCCGACGACGATTTCCTCAACTCTCCGCAAAATGTTGTATTTACTTTGAGCGCCGGATGGGTTTTCAAAATTTTACTAATTTTCCTTTTAACAGGTTAAGCGCCACGGCGGACACCGGTGGCCGACTTGTGATTAGTTTTCTGGGCCACGGCGGACACCGGTGTCCGCTTGCATGTAAATTTTTTATTATCCTTACCGGGCCGAGAAGACACGCTTGTACGCGCTAACGTAGTGGTGTGTCCGCCACGGCCCTGGAGCATAAAACGCTGACACCAGGTTTTTCATAGCAATGCTCTTTAGATAAATTTGGTGATATTTTTATTGTTATGTAAAATTTATAATCTTGCTGTATTTTCTAGATGCTTCTCTAAGTTATTAGAAATGTTTTACAAATACCTATAAAATAAATTTATTTTTTAAGACTTTAACGATTTTTGTGGAATAAATTAAAACACTCCAGACAGAACCTAGGATTATCTTCGCACTGCGCACAATACGTTATTACTTTTTTAACTTTATTTTTTCCAATAAGTCCTTCTTGTTTTTTTTGTAACATCCCTTGCAGTACCGTCTATTTTCCCGCGCCTTACAATCTAATTTTGAAAATACATGAGCCCTCAAGCTGGTTTTTACAGGACGTACACGTTCATAGGAATTGCTGTCTTCAAATTTCAGCAACCCTTCAATGACTGCATAACGAAAATCAGTTATAGAAATGTCGCTTTGCTCGATCTCCCTATAAATGAAATGAGCGTTTACGACTGATGTACCTAATAAAATTTCTATTGCTACTTTTTTGTACCAGTGGATAGTTCGCCGCAGCGCCATGCTATAGCTAGACATCTGATCGGATAAGTCTATGGAGCTTTTGTCAGAATTGTCAATCACGGCTTTGGGTTTTTGAATGATTTCTCCACGACGTTGAACTGGAACCACCTCAGCGCTGTGGCAGGTGGATAGAACCAAGACATCTTTTTTGTCTCGCCATTTCAGAACACATATGCCCCTTTCATTTTCTTGGGCAATAATTTCGCTTTTTTTCAGTTTTTTTCTTCAAAACTTCGTCTGGATTCCCCTTGCGATTATTTCGCAAAGTACCCAGGCAATGTGTTTTGTTATCCAAAAGTATATGAGCCAGTTGGAGGCTGGTATACCAATTATCAATTACACAAATTCTGCCAGACCCTAAGAGATTCCTCGCCAATTTTAGCACTATACTGGTAGATACTGTTAGTTGGCCTTCCTTCTCTTTGCCTGCATACACACTCAGGTGCCAAGTGTATCCATTCTGAGTACACAACTTAAATATTTTGATACCATATTTATTTCCCTGTTGTGGATTGTCCCTGAAAAAGAACCATGGTTTCATCAATGCAAAATGTTTTTCCTGGTGTAAATACTTTTTAACAGTTAGTTATAATTTTGTCTATTAGAGGCTGAAGTTTATACAATCGGTCTCCTTCTGGGCACTGGGAGTTATCTGAAAAATGCCACATTTTTAGAAGTATCTCAAATCGATTACGACTCATAATATTAGAAGCAACCTCATTTTTGAACAACCACTTAGTTGACCAATAGTCCCGGATAGAATTCATTCGCACCATTCTCATGTAACCTAGTAAACCTAGAAATTGTGCCAATGCTTTTCTTGTTGTAGGCTCCCATTTTTGAACACGGGCATGATTAGAGATATTTTCGTTTCGCATAAGAAATTCGGTGGCGTAATGATTTGTTTGTTCCACCATAAGATCCAGAATATAAACATCTACAAAAGCCAAATAATATTCTACTGACCAGAGACCCTTTAACGCAGCATACCACTCAGGTTTTACACCAGCTCCGTAAGTTTCTACAAATTCTGAATGGTTTCCAACGGGCGCACCCCAAACTGAGAGAGACAAATCGTGCAAGTTGATGACTATTCCACTATCAGGTTCTTCTTGTAAATCTTGGGCCAAATTATCTTCAATTTCAGGTCTATCTGCATTTGACGCCGAGGTATTGTCTTCAAAATTTTGAACTTAAGCGTTATTTGGCTCATATTGTAGTTCTTCTTCTGATTCGTTTTCTGTGCTTTCGTTTTCGAGCCAGCTTCGTTTGCTGGGGCGTTGAAAAGGTGTGCTGGGAATATCAAAATCAAGTTTTTCACTATCAACTCCATCACTTTCACTACTGCTTGGTGGAATGAATGCTGGGTCATCGATAGAATTGTCAGAAAACGCTTCATTTGAAGAGTCAGCTAAAAGTATTTTACATTACCTCATTTGTCAAGTATGTAATAGACCAGTGATTGTCGTCCACGGGTGTCTGTGGATATGTTAGTGATACATACGACAAACGTCAGTAGAAAGCTACGTAGCTACGCCAGTCACCCGTGAAACTTAGTTGGTGCATCGAATTCCAACGTAGAATACATTGATTTCCAGAGTGAACATCCCCTCGTTTTTTCTAGATATCTGATAACGTGTAATGCCTTATTTCTTTTTCCTATATCCACTTCACCTTGGAAGATTAGAGAGTATTTTCCGTTACACAGTTCATTAATGGTCGGCTGGTATACTTCAGTCACTCGCTGAGGTAGAAATAGGACGTCAGGACCTAAATCCACTAGTACTGCTTCTCCAAATTTTGAATATACCACTTTTGATGAGTGTATCGCAAACGGTGTTCCAACTGGTAGGTCCTTTAATTTTCGTACTGCTTTACGGGCTGCAATCGAAGATGTCGCATTAATTTTTGCCAAATCCATCTATAACAAAATTGAGTCGTCTTTTACTACTTTGAAGCATAAAACGAAATAAACGGACTAAACAAAAATGAAAGCGAGAAGCATTCATTATCTTACACGAACACTTAAAAAAGCACATAGTTGCACTTAGAGACATAAAAAAAGAAAAATATTAAATAAAATAGCGCACTTACTTACTTTTACTTCGCTCCCCTCTCTTGCACTTTTGTACTGTGGTTGTAGCGTTGAATGTGAAAGAATGATATCTACTGCATGCGCTCGTTCAATATAAATACCATGACCGATATGACGCGAGTGCATGAGATAATTATTATAACATAAAGATACATCATATCATCAGTATCACTATTATCGAGAAAAACAAACACTTTAAAGGTTCGTTGCGGTTGCGGTTGAGGTATTTTGCATACAATTTCTTAGTAATCCATGAATACATCGTTTGCTTGGAAATTCCAGAGATATCTTTATGATTATGCCTCGTTTAAAAATCGTAAATACATTTATAACCAATATGATGCTTAACAGAATAATCAATATGTTGAGCGGTGTGCTGTCACTATTTGTAGTCTGGTGTGTATGTCCCTGCGACCAGTGGGGCTAGCGTCATTTTTTAAGGACACGTCTTGCTATATACGATAAGGTCCGTGTCCCCCATGAGCGGCCCTCACTCACACTTACCATGTGAATGGGCCTTATTTCGATCTGACGATATAAGAAATGAAACTCAGTGTGGTTTCGGTTCGAAACTATAGCAGGAACTTTATTGGATGAAAACAGGATGACAACAATGCTAGTTACATTTCATATTCAGTTTATAAGAAGTAAAATATAGCAAAATGCAAAGTCAGGAATGTTCTCACAAAGATA